AGAGAGAGAGAGAGAGAGAGAGAGAATATGTTACTCCAAATAATAATGACTAGTGGGTGTGCTTATGGACGAGTACGTAACGTTGTCCAGTTTGTTTTTTTTTGCGGGGGACATGAATTTATCTGGGATTCATGCCTGGGACCCCCTATCCTTCCATGGGAGTCTTTTAGCGATGAGCGCCCTATGGCTTTTATTTGTTCGACCCGTGCCCGCGGGGCTTTTTTAGTGGCCAGAGAGAGAGAAAAATGGAGAGAAGAGGGAGATACAGAGAAGCCATCTTGTCTCCACCCATGCGGGCAGTTGGGGTCCGCTAAGAGGTCTAAGAGCCTTTGGCTTACATCAGGGAGTAGCCCTGACCAGAAAACCTCAATTGCTCTTTTGCCTTTAATGGTTCCACGTGAAGACTCAGGCCAAGAATAAGAGGAAGGAAAAAGGAGGAAGGGAAAGTTTAAAATAGAGAGCATTGAGAAAATTACAAACCCAGACCTCCCTCTATGTAACTAACACAACTATCAAGTATATATATCACATTAAATCACATTCGTGTGGGCTGGTCTTTCTTTCATTCAGACACATGCTGCACCCACCATTCTCACTTTTGGGATCCCTGAACACAGACACAGACAATACACAGAACAGAGAATTTCTTGGCGCACGTCCTTTAACTCAAGAACTGAAAGTACAGAGTGGGAGGGGAGTAGCCAAGCCAAACTCCCTTGTTCTCCCGGGGGAAGGAAGGCTACGCCGTCTTTCCCACTCCAGACCACTCCGGTCCTTAAGGCCAGAGTGTCAGAACCAGGGGCCTCTGGGCACATCAGCCACTCCCACTGGTTTCCAGAATACAGACTTACAGGTCCTGCACAGGCACAATTGTTCAGACGGAACGTTCCCAGAACAGAAAATGACTTACAGACATTAAGACCAAGACAAATCACAAGACGTCCTTACCTCCTGCTGATCTGAGGAAATAGGTCTGGGGGCAACTGAATCCTGGACGAGCCCCCAAATGTAGGACCCCCAGACTGGGGTACCCAACGTCCGCAGGAGGCGGCACCCCAGTAACTCAGTCCTCAGACCAGGAGATGCAACAAGCAAGAGGATTTAATCGTTTGCACAGACGGGCTCCTGCCTCACTCAGAGGGAGAGAGAGAACAGCAGCCCCAAGCTCAGCTTACAGGCAATTTTTAAAGGCAGAAACCACAAACCACAACCGGCAGCAGTGGGAGGGGGCCGGCAGCAACCGGCAATAGGGGCCTGGCAGCAACTGGCAGTAGTGGGAGGGGGCCGGCAACAGTAGGTGGGGGGGGGAGTCTCTGGTGATGTCTGGAGCATGAAAAGGTCAGCTCTTTCTCAGCAGTTAGAATTATTTTACTTCTTACTTCCTTGTTCTGAATATTCTTCTTTAGTCTGGGGGATTTGGTTTAAATCTACTTTAACTTGGGGGGGCTTTAGTTTGATTCCATCAAAGGGTTTGGATTCCCCTGGAGCTCGAGTTAAGGACGGTTCCTAGCCACCATGTGGGTGCTGGGAATTGAACCTCGGTCCTCTGCAAGAGCAGTCCGTGTTTACCTTAACCGCTGAGCCATCTCTCCAGCCCTAGAGTTTGAAATTTTAAAGGCATTTTACTATAGCAAGAGATCTATGGATGGAGACTCTTAATTTTTTTTTTTTTTTTTTAAGTTTTAGAGATTCTCACTATGTAGCCCTGCCTGGCCTAGAACTCCCTATGTAGGCCACTCAGAGATCCACCTGCCTCTACCTAGCATGTGCTGGGATCACAGGTGTGTGACACCACACTCACTGGGGAGGTGGAGACACGTTTGTTTCTTTGATTATTCGAGACAGGTTTCACTATATAGGCCTGCTACTCTGGCCTCTGAGTGCTGAGGTTGATTATAGGTATGTGGCTGAGGATGACCTTGAACTCCTGATGCTTCTGCTTCGTCTTCCAAGTCTGTGTGTGATTAGAAGACCAGTCTTCTAATTTCTTCCAGTATTTTAATGTTTTTTAGACAAGGTCTCTGGCAACGCTGATCTTGAACTCACAATGCCTTGAAGTCTGGATCCTCCAGCCTCATGCCCAGCCTGAACAATGTCTCCCAGCGCTTAAAACTAGACAAGTCAATGACAATACTTGTTTTTTTGGGGGGGGGGCGACGGGGGAGCTTTTTGAGATAGGGTCTCCCTGTAGCCCCAGCTGGCCTGGAACTCCCTAAGTACACCCGGCAGGCCTGGAACGCCCTAAGTACACCCGGCAGGCCTTGAACTCACAGCTATCAATCCACCCACCTCTGCCTCGGGAGTGCTGGGATCAACCACGGCCGGCTTTTTTGTTTTGTTTTGTAGTTTTGGTCTTTTTGAGACTGCAGTGACAATACTAGAAAAGGGGGCGGTCACAGCCTGCACATTTTTCTCCTAACTCTATTCTCATGCATGCTCTGCTAGCCTGGGAGTAACTTTTGCTATTTGCTTATAAAAGAAACCAAGCCGATGGAGCCCGATCCGCCCCTTTAATGAGTCCAGGGGTAGCAGAGGAGGTCGAGGGGAACTACGTGGGGTATCCCCGGGGCGTGCCCCGCCGGGCCCCCACCGTATCACGCCCCAGGGCTGAGGGGCGGGGCACGTATAGCGGCCACGCGCTGGGCCGGCCGAGGGGGCGTGTCCGCGAGCGCGCGCGGGCGGCGAGGGGGCGTGTCCGGCGGGCGGGCTGCGCGGCGTCCTGTGCTGGAATGTGCGGCTCCCGCGAGCTCGCAGCGAAACAGCCAACGGAGCGCCGCCGAGGCCCCGGGTCCCAGACCCCGGCGGCTGGGTCGGCTGGGACAGCAGGGCGAGGGCCGGTGGCCTGATCCCGCTCCTCGCTCGCACTCCTGGATCTTGGCGCGCCTCGACGGCCCCGGCGCCCAACTTTTCTCCCGACTTCTTCCCTTCCCCCGAAAGTCCAGCAACAAAGAAAAGTAGTTGGAGCCGCGGCGGCGACGCGGGGGCGGCGGGCACGGAGGCAAAGCCGGTAGGACGGCGCGGGCCTGGCGGCGGCGGCGGGGAACCGCGGAGCGGCGCGAGGCGCTGTCCAGGGCTGATCTGCAGATACTGCGGCTCGGGCGGCGGGCGGG